CCCCCCCCCCCCCCCCCCCCCCCCCCCTTTTTCCCTCCCCTGAGATTTCCCATTTGGAGCAAAAAAAAAAAAAAAAAAATCAATAGCATGCTTTTGGACTATTGCTTCATCTCAAAATTGCCTTCCCCACATATGCACAGAGAAAGGAGGGGAAAATGAGGAAGGAGGATCCCCCCCCCCAGTTAATATTGCTTTTCAAGTATAAGCAAAAGAGTATACATTTATATACATTTTTCATTAAAATAAATCCCACCACTTTATTTATTGGGATTAGAAAATGCCAGAACCTTCAGACAACCAAATGTTTAGCAAGTATTTGCCTTTGATCTCATTGATTGAATTAATCCTGGTTTAATGTCATCAAAGCTCAGGTCAAGGAGACAGGGAGAGGTGTCTTAGTTTCTCCAGCTTCCCTATCACTGAAGACAGAAGGTAGATAGAAAGGGAGTTTAACTAGGCCACAGTTTCACTGAGTATCTGCAAATTGGGTTAACATTAAACTAGATATGTAAATGCCACTAAATGAAAGCCATACCATCATTCTGCTCTGGGACAGGCGGGTGGGTCCAAAGACCTCTGAAAATCCCACCCTTCTACAGATGTGAGATCAAAGACAGAGCTGAGGGGAGCTATTTTTATAAAGCACCCCTGAATTGTTAATAGACAACAGGCTGATCTGGGACAAATCCCTGCTTTCTAAAACTACTCAAAGTACACAGTTAAGAAAAAGTTACAGGGTGTCTACTGTTCACCAAACTCCACCCTATCTGTGACAGTCTTAAGAAGGCATCATCTAGGCATGGAGAACCTATGAACCTCCAGATGCTGCTGAACTACAACTCCCAGTAGCTCAGCCTATATGGTCAATGGTGAGTGATGTGGGGAGTTGTATGTGGAAAGGTCACAAATTCTCCATCCCCGGATTAAAAGGAGTGACCAGAATAGATACTTATTTAAAGCAAAATTATCAAGAGGACCGAAGGTAAACTTCTTGTCAACAGTCAAAATAATATCCTGGCTCTCAGTAGGGGAGACCCTAAGTCAGGGATAAGTAATGCAATGCCATCTATCATGGTGCCCCATTAAGTGGATTTTCTCCTTGAAAACAATTGTTTCCAAATTGGTGCTATGTAGAGGTTTTCAACTACAATTCCCAAAAACATGTTGGCCAAGATGGAGGTTGTAGTTCAATGCATCGGGAGGGCCCCATCTTAGCAAAAGTTGGTTTATCAGCTGTCCTGTTTTTCCATACCAGTCTGAACAATGATAATATTAAAGGGATAAACTTTCATCCTCAGGATTGTAGGAGTATCTTTTGCTTTCTCAAAATAGGCTAAGGGTTGCCTGTCTACCTATCTGGCCGTCTCTCTGTCTCCCTCTCTCTGTTTGAAGCAAGATTTCAAGGTTTAAGGGAAATAAACAAGAACTGATGTACCTATTTTGGGAGCCCAGTATTCTTTACCCCTCCTGTTACAAATATAGCAGCAGCTTCTCAGCTTTGGAGCTATTTGGGAGTAGCAAAACTTGAATTATTAACTACATTTATTATAAGGTTAAATCTTTAGTGCCTACAAAACTTTAATCACTCAGTTAGCTACGCTGAATAACTCAGCATTAATATATAGCCTACATACTGATGCAGCTCCAGTTTTGGGAGGGAAGTCTGATGTAAATTAACTCCTGTGACTAGCTATCCTTATTCATCATTGTAACTCCATTAACATTATCACCCTGAAACATGGTTTTCCAGTGTAGAGAGAGTGAGTGAGAAAAATGATGTTGCAGCTTTATTTACCTTGGGAGGTTTGCTTGCTTCCCAAGGATCCATTACAAGTTGCATTCACATGTAAACAAGCTTTTCCTTATGAAGCTGTTGATTCTGATCTGGGACTGATAAAACATTTTTATCAGTCAGTGGTGCTCTTTGACCTATTTAAAGTTATTTTTCCGCCTTAATGGGAATCTAGATTCGTGGTAATAGTTGTCCATCATAAGGTTGTTGCTGCAGATCAGATGGACAGTGTCGCACAAATGCATGCACAGTGATGCAAAAATCAGAGGAGTATCAAAAACACTTCTGTTTTGTGGTGTAAACACTTACCTGTTAGCTATTTTCATTGTCTTTGAAATCTGTATCTAAGGGACCAGATAATCAAAAAGAAGTAGGTGAGAGGGAACGCAGCTGACATAGCATCTCCAATATCTGCATCAAAACTTTTGTTTTCTTCTTGCTTACTCCTCCATGATGAAATGTTTGCAAAATTGAAAAGATGTAAATATAATCAGGAATAAAACCTAATACTTGGGGTAGGGAAGGAAGGCCAGCGTTAACCTTCATTCTGTTCTTTCTGAAGTCCCATCCTACACTTTTATTGTTTTACTGATATTTGCCTATAAAATCTGTTTTAAAAAAGAACATTAGCTAAGCTAAAGCCAAATTCTTTCTTCCTTCAGTGAAATGCATTTGTGGGAAAGGGAGGCTGAACCTCTTAACCATTTATCTTCTGGGACAGAACAAAAAAATATAATACATACATGCGTGTATATAAGTAGGTAGAGATGCCAAACACTACATCAAGAAAGGGCCTCTTGGTTTATTTTAAGCTGTTGTAAATGGCTTAGTTTAGAGCAACCTTCTGCTACTTGGGGTCTCCCAAGTTTGTTGGACTACTGCTTTCATCATCCCCAGGTAGTGTTAGTATGCCAGCACTGAGTACCTATGCTGGAAGGAACAACATCTGTTAGCTTGGAGAAGGTCGATTTAGACAGTATGTTGATTGATTGATTTCCTACCTCTCTACACATTATGCCAGTGATAGTCAGTGAGATGTTGATAAATGCCAACAGCCACATAGTCATTTCCCTTGATACTAGCTTTTTTTTTTAAAGATTCTTTTAATTAACCAAAATTAAGTGGAAAAGCTGCTGCGCAAACCACTAGCTGCTCATATCTTTAGAATCTAACAAGTTAGGGAATGCAGAGCACAACTTCTGGAAGTCTCTCCAACCCCTTAAAATAGTTCCACTCTGGGTCGTGCAACCAGGAAAAATGAGGGGCTTAGAATGAAGGAACTGGCAACATTTCAATTCCCTACCCAATTCTCCCAAAAAGGCATTGGAAAATTTGTTTCATGTTGGTTTCTTCCTTCAGTGAAATACACTCGCTCCAGCACCCAGCTCAATCTGGCCTGTTTTCAGGCTTGATCTTTCTCTTGATGGCTTCTCATACCACACCAGGTTTGGTCCCATTTTCTGCTGATGGAAGGGCAGTCGCAGAAACAGACAGTATCCAAATCCTGTTTACATAATTTCTTTCCAACATTCTTTTGCATTGGAAAGAATAACAAGATAGGGAAAACAGGCAGAGGGACCTGTAGTTCATTCTTTGTAATAAAGTGTTACATCTGTTGGCCCATTCTCCCCAGGGACTAATCAGGGTATTACATGTTACCTGTGTGCAAGAGAGGGGTGGGGTTCTAATCATAGGGGTGAATATGTGTTGCCTGTTTGAGTGTGGGGATGAGGGTCTTACTGGGGAGGGTGTATATGCATTGCATCTGTATGTGTGTATTTGTAATTTCCCCTCTGCATCTGTGTATTGTGTGTGTGTGTGTGTTCATTGAAAAGCTCAGGAGGTGCTGCATTTGCTCCAATCTGGTTATGTGACCAGGAGGGAAGGGACTTAAGAACAGAGCAGTCGACAGAATTCCACATTGCTGCCCTGCTCTTCCATAGAATAAATACATTTTCTGGATTTATTTTCCTCTATAGCCTCCCCCAGATCTAACCCATTTTCAATTGTTCTTTTGCTGGTTTCTCTTGTCTTCCCCCCTCCTCCCCCCCAAAAGGTTTGGTTCTGTTCACTTTTCAGAGAGTTATTTTGCTGATGGAGAGACAAATGGGCAGAAAGACAGAGCCCTAGGCCTCTTTATGTAATTTTTCTCCCAACTTTCCATTGGGTTGGCTAGAATAAAAAATAATAACTGGCAGCAGCTGAGTGCTTTGTTTGGAAGTGTAACTGCCATAGGTAAAGTAAAGTAGCAGAGAGCATTGGGGGCTAGGAGGGCTAAATGAATGCTTTATGACCAGCCATACTCATAACTGCCATGACATCAACATTCCAGATGTGCCCAACATCCCATAACATTTGTCTACCCCTACATTATAAGCAATTTCCTACAAAAGATGGGTATGCAGTAGAGGATTGGTTCTGTCCAAAGAAAAACAAAATAAAGTGTTTGCACATCACCAGGCAACTAAACAAGTGATATGAAAGAGTATGGCTGAGCTGTATTACTTCATTGGTTAAGCAATAAACATCAATTTTCAAGACACGTGAAAGCAGACGGCATTGACAGGTCTCTAGAATCAGCTACTAACATCTATCCAGCCTCACAAGTTGTTATTGAGTCTACTTGTGTATGTTGCTTTGATCTTAATTGCAGCTTAGTTTTCCTAGAATGCAAGTAAATAGAGCATTATGTGAAGAAAAAGAGAAATGGCACAAAAGAAGAGGGAAAAAAGGGGTTGATCAAAAGGGATAAGCTCTTGTTCCTTTACTTAAAAAGATAGATTACCCTGGGCAGGAATCAATTGAAAACTTAAAAACAAAAACTGAAAATCAGGGTAAGATTGCTTTTACA